TGTGGGGGTCCTGTGTTAGGGTGGAGACACTGTGGGGTTCCTGTGCTAGGGTGGAGACACTAGGGGGGTCCTGTGTTAGGGTGCCGACACTGTGGAGGGTCCTGTGTTAGGGTGGAGACACTGTGGGGTTCCTGTGCTAGGGTGGAGACAATGTATGGGGTCCTGTGTTTGGGTGCCGACACTGTGGCGGTCCTGTGTTAGGGTGCCGACACTGTGGGGGGTACTGTGTTAGGGTGGAGACACTGTGGGGGGTCCAGTGTTAGGGTGCCGACACTGTGGGGGTCCTGTGTTAGGGTGCCGACACTGTGGGGGGTCCTGTGTTAGGGTGGAGACACTGTGGGGGGTACTGTGTTAGGGTGGGGACACTGTGGGGGGTCCTGTGTTAGGGTGCCGACACTGTGGGGGTCCTGTGTTAGGGTGCCGACACTGTGGGGGTCCTGTGTTAGGGTGGAGACACTGTGGGGTTCCTGTGCTAGGGTGGAGACACTGTGGGGGGTCCTGTGTTAGGGTGCCGACACTGTGGGGGTCCTGTGTTAGGGTGGGGGGTCCTGTGTTAGGGTGCCGACACTGTGGAGGGTCCTGTGTTAGGGTGCCGACACTGTGGGGGGTCCTGTGTTAGGGTGGAGACACTGTGGGGGTCCCTGTGTTAGGGTGCCGACACTGTGAGGGTCCTGTGTTAGGGTGGAGACACTATGTGGAGGGTTTGTGTTAGGGTGCCGACACTGTGGAGGGTCCTGTGTTAGGGTGGAGACACTGTGGGGGGTCCTGTGTTAGGGGTGCCGACACTGTGGATGGTTCTGTGTTAGGGTGGAGACACTGTAGGGGGTCCTGTGTTAGGGTGGAGACACTGTGGGGGGTCCTGTGTTAGGGTGGAGACAATGTGGAGGGTCATGTGTTAGGGTGCCGACACTGTGGGGGTCCTGTGTTAGGGTGGAGACACTGTGGGGTTCCTGTGCTAGGGTGGAGACACTGTGGGGGGTCCTGTGTTAGGGTGCCGACACTGTGGGGGTCCTGTGTTAGGGTGCCGACACTGTGGAGGGTCCTGTGTTAGGGTGCCGACACTGTGGGGGTCCTGTGTTAGGGTGCCGACACTGTGGGGGTCCTGTGTTAGGGTGGAGACACTGTGGAGGGTCCTGTGTTAGGGTGGAGACACTGTGGGGGGTCCTGTGTTAGGGTGCCGACACTGTGGATGGTTCTGTGTTAGGGTGGAGACACTGTAGGGGGTCCTGTGTTAGGGTGGAGACAATGTGAAGGGTCCTGTGTTAGGGTGCCGACACTGTGGGGGTCCTGTGTTAGGGTGGAGACACTGTGGAGGGTCCTGTGTTAGGGTGCCGATACTGTGGAGGGTCCTGTGTTAGGGTGCCGACACTGTGCAGGGTCCTGTGTTAGGGTGGAGACACTGGGGGGGGTCCTGTGTTAGGGTGGAGACACTTTGGAGGATCCTGTGTTAGGGTGGAGACACTGTGGGGGGCCCTGTGTTAGGGTGTCAACACTGTGGAGGGTCCTGTATTAGGGTGGAGACACTGTGGGGGCCCTGTGTTAGGGTGGAGACACTGTGGGGGGTCCTGTGTTAGGGTGCTGACACTGTGGAGGGTCCTGTTTTAGGGTGGAGACACTGTGGGGGGTCCTGTGTTAGGGTGGAGACACTGTGGGGGGTCCTGTGTTAGGGTACTGACACTGTGTTGGGTCCTGTGTTAGCGTGCCGACACTGTGGAGGGCCCTGTGCTAGGGTGCTGACACTGTGGGGGCCCTGTGTTAGGGTACTGACACTGTGGAGGGTCCTGTGTTAGCGTGCCGACACTGTGGGGGCCCCTGTGTTAGGGTGCCAACACTGTGGGGATCCTGTGTTAGGGTGGAGACACTGTGGAGGGTCCTGTGTTAGGGTGGAGACACTGTGGGGGGTCCTGTGTTAGGGTGGAGACACTGTGGGGTTCCTGTGCTAGGGTGGAGACACTGTGGGGGGTCCTGTGTTAGGGTGCCGACACTATGGGGGTCCCTGTGTTAGGGTGCCGACACTGTGGGGGTCCCTGTGTTAGGGTGCCGACACTGTGGGGTCCCTGTGTTAGGGTGACGACACTGTGGGGGCCCTGTGTTAGGGTGCCAACACTGTGGGAGGCCCCCTGTGTTAGGGGGGCCAACACTGTGGGAGGCCCCCTGTGTTAGGGGGGCCAACACTGTGGGGGGCCGCTTGTCTTAGGGTGATTGCACATATTTGGAGTTTTAAAAATTACGACTTTTTATATCGAAAATATGCATTAGTGCAAACGGCAATTGGTGAGATTTTGCCCAAATTGACTTACAGTTTTCAGAATGTTGGAAATATTGAAAATATGACTCGTGGACCTTATTTGTGAGCGAAATTCATGGCGATTGATTCGCTTTTTATACCGAAAATATGTAAATTAGTTCAAACTAATTTGTGATGAGCACAATCCTGTTCCTCATCATTAGGTGAGGAGCAGGTAAGAATAAGATGATGTTCGTCCTTCGGGTGTGAAGATGGCCCCAACTTCAATATATCCGATCAAAGGTCGGTGGCTGTGTCGGATGATGGAGGAGGAGACCAATCTGGGTCAGGAAGGCTCGCCAACACACGGGACACTTGTAGGCGAGTGCTTCTGCAGAGGTGGAGGTTGCTCTAGCTTTGATTGTGGCACATTTCCTCTCGGCCTCTGCAGTCTGTCTATTTTCTGGGAGCAAGTGACTCCTAAGTACTGATGTTGATGTCCATGTTCTTCGAGGGTCACCAATAAAAATAAGGTAAGAATAGGATGAATGTAAAGATAAGGTAAAAATAGGATGAATATAAGATTAAAGGTAAGAATAATAAACGGGAAAGGAATAAGAAACAGACAAAATTCAAGTCAGATCATGTTTGCTAAGAAGTTACAGCATTTAAGTATGTACTGTGAGAGGAAAGAGTCAACAGCAACAAAGCCAGGACCAAGGTTCATGTTGGGCAGGTTGTGTATCAGAGCCGATTCAATAAGACAACATCTGTGAAGAATAGAGGCAGGAAAGATTATATTAGAAGCCCAACCTATAGGATGATTAGGGTCCCTAACATGACAGAAGAGAGCATTGTTTGTGTCTGCCCACTTTAACACCTCTTTTTGTGTTCCTTAAATTTGTCATTCAGTGTACGGCCAGTTTCCCCAAAGTTTTGGAGAGGACAAGACGAACAAGAAAGAGAGTAGACCCCAGCAGCATTGGAAGCACAAGGATCAGTGTGAACCAGATTACTACAAAGAGTGTTAGTTTGTTGAAAGCAGAGCTGTACATCAAAAGGACGTATGGTATTAGAGAAGATTTTTTAGTTCAGATATGAAAGGAAGGCAGAGCATAGTGGCACCAGTGTTGAAAACAGGTTTAAGATGAAAGAAATTACATTTAGTTTGAGAATATGCATAATTGACAAAATGTAAGGGGTATCCAAGGGGAGGAGGAGGATTTGTAAATAAAAGAAATTTCAGAATCGAGAAACTGAGGGTCGCTGATGCACAGATCACAGAAATAAGAATACTTTTCTTAACAGAAGGAGGATGGTTGGAAAAGAAGTGAATGCACATACCACTATGCATGAGTTTGCAGTAAACAGAGAAAGAGAAACCGGACACAGAGCTGTCAATATTAACATCAATAATAGGAATTAGGGAATTAGATTCCTATTCAACTTTGAAATTGATAGGAGGAGCCAGATTGTTAAGAGAAGAAAGGAAAAGCTGGGAAATGCTAAGGTCATGAAGCCATAGAGCAAAAATGTCATCAACATAGCAAAACCAGAGAGAGGGATGAGTATCAATAGTGGGAAGAACAGTTTCGAAGTACTCCATATAGAGATTGGCAAGAACAGGGGAGAGGGGAACCCATAGCAACACTGAAAGTTTGAGAGAAGTATCTTCCACTGTAAGAGGAGGAGTTAGTCAACATCAAGTAAAATATTAGTAAACAGTCAACATCAAGACTAAGCATCTTACAGAAGGGCTGCAGGAGCAGTCTTTCTATGAAGTCTGCAGAGTGGCGGAGGTGGGCAGGAGAAAAAGTTCCAAGATTAGAAAATGTTTATGCCAAAACTCTCACTCAATAACATCAATTTTACAGATGCATAGCAGCAGCTATGGATCTGTAGAATGAATTAGAAGTATTTTTCATTTAGCACTATGATATGCTATATTTTCACTGGATGAAAACTAGTGATGGAGAAAGCATTGTTGAAAGAAATAACTTCATCAGGCATATTTAAAGTAATTAATTATCAAGATAAAGCTCTAAGCCAGTATGGCTATTTTATATAACATTTCAATATGCAATACACTCAAAAATATTTAATCTTCTAACAATCTAAATATGATTCACAGAGCAGAGATTCTAAGTAACAACAGCCATTAAAAGGATGACTGGGAACAATGTTCTATCATCCTAGAAATCAGAGCATCCAACTAATAGATGCAACATGCAAGAGTAACCTCCATTAGGTGCCAATGAGCTAATCTCATATGACCAATCAGTAAGTCCATCTCCCATTATCTATTTGGGTGATACAAGCAAGGAGATAAATCATCCTTAACAAGACAATTAATTTTAGTCATAGTCAATAACACAGTACAGAAACCTCCATTTTTGAAGGTCAATGCACCAGGACCAGAACTCTGCTTCACAGCAAAGCCATAATGCCACAGAGCTTGCTTAATTGCTGTCACATCCCATCAAACGTGGGAACTGACAGCAAGCAATGAGAAACACCACCAAGAAGCATGCTCACACAGACGAGAGACATCCTAAGAAAGCCAGAGGAAAAACAGTACAGGGAAGCATTGGAAAAAGGTAGATCTTTCTTCAGTGGAGGAAAAATAGTAAATAAAATGAAAGATCGTTTTTCAGTTTAGGCAAAATAGTAAAGGAGGATAAATCTTTCTTCAGAAGAGGCAAATTGGAAAAGGTAGGATAGGTACTTCATCAATGGAGGCAAAATGATAAATAGGGAACAATGAAAAGAAGAATTGTTTCAGCAACATTTTAGCTATACAGTAACTTACGTTTTAATGGTTATAGCTTAACAAGTGCATAGGAAACGTAATACAATGTTCACATATACAGACCCAAATGGAGAACAATGTGTGTGTGCTATGCATCTCCTATAAATATAGATTTCAATAGGAATGTTGGTTGAAATAACAGGTATACAGGTTCGATTACATTATACATCTTTAATAATTTATCATATTAGGTTTTGACTGAGAAATGTATAATAATAATAAATAAGATCATGCTTAGACACAATCCCAAAGACTGCTTAATAACTTTTATCCATTACTGTACCTAATGCTTTACAATTACAGTATCTTTAAATAAAAGGCATTCAAACTGATAATACATGCTCAATCTTAGTCCATAACAATTGGTAATGAAAATAATAGCTGCTTAATTAAACTTGATATTAACATTGTACAGATACAGTATAACATACAATAACTAGTGAAATAAGGAACGGCGTAACAATTGTGAAAAAGTTGTTATATTCAGTAGGAATCCAAAGACTTTCATGTGGTGTATATTCAGTAGGAATCCAAAGACTTTCATGTGGTGTATATTCAGTAGGAATCCAAAGACTTTCATGTGGTGTATCTTGATAAAAATTCCTTCATGAACTTACTGCCGTCAACAAGGATGATAAACCCGGGAGTGCCACCTAATACACAACACCTGTAGAAGGAAAGAATATGTCCACTATAATGAAGTACACCATTCCAGTGGGTGCTCTTGGTGGCCCTTAGTTTCAGAAAGCCACTGAGGGGATCTCCCAGAAAATATATTAAGCTTAGCATATCTGAATTATATTTTCCTTTGTGTGTGTACTGTAATATGCTAGTGAAGACCAAGCTTGGTGTTGAGAAATAAATAAATAAATAAATATATATATATATATATATATATATATATATATATATATATATATATATATATATATATATATATATATATATATATATATATATTATTTATTTATTTATTATACAGAAGAATGAAATGGGGGGAAAAACAAGACTTGAAAATAATGAAATGGCAACTTTTGGGTGAGCCCTGATGGCTCCCTGAAGCTATTTCACTGAAATGGTTCCCAACTACAGTACTAGGTCGTATCAACCATGGAGTTCTTATGCCTACCGAAGAAGGGCCTGGTCAGAGACCGGGCCACGGGGACATTGATCAGGACCAGGTTCTGGCTCTGGTTCCCTGTAGGCATAGGAACTCCTGGTGACTGATGATCCCAAACTAATATGGCACATATCAGTTCGGAGAGCTTCAGGAAGCCATCGGGGCTCCCCCAGAAAAGTTGTTCTGAAAATATTATGTTTTCTTTTGACATTGTTAATTAGCCTTATCTTGAGGTTTTATCTTGAGGTTATCTTGAGATGATTTCGGGGCTTTAGTGTCCCCGCGGCCCGGTCCTCGACCAGGCCTCCACCCCCAGGAAGCAGCCCGTGACAGCTGACTAACACCCAGGTACCTATTTTACTGCTAGGTAACAGGGGCATAGGGTGAAAGAAACTCTGCCCATTGTTTCTCGCCGGCGCCTGGGATCGAACCCAGGATCACAAGTCCAGCGTGCTGTCCGCTCGGCCGACCGGCTCCCTCTCAATGGCCTTAATAACAGATTTTGTTATTGTTCCATATCTTCCAAATTTTCTTTATTCAACAGCCAACATTTGAAAGTTTAAATGAATTTATCCGTCACCTTGTCCATTTTTAACTCCCAAAGGTCAGGATCAGGAACAACAAACAGCATTAATACTGGGGAAAATACCGAGTCCAGGGACACGCGTTTGACCCTATCTCCAGCCTCTCATCATGGTCCAGTTGGTATCGCATGTGCCTGGAGAGTTCAGGGATGTGGGTTTGATGCCATCATATGGCCTCAATATATTCTCATAAAAACATCAAGTTCTTATAATTTCATTGTGCAGCATTAATACTGTCTTTATCTGCAAATAAATATCTACTTCCAGGTTCCCAAGAGGTACAATCACTTTTCTTCCATTACTCTGCTATGTATCTCCTCAAAGCTTAATTTTTTTAGTGCCAAGTCTAAATATTTAAATTCCTTGACCTCCATCAGTGTTTTTCCACCTGTTTCAATTACACAATCCAGTCATAGCTTGTCAATATGAAAGAAAAGGACAAAGGCACCACAACATAGAAGCTATAGAAACTAGTCATTGTACAAAGAGAGATTAAACTACTGTATGGGTAAAGTCATGACTAACACTCGCTGATTGCAGCAAAAAGAAAAAATCTACTTCTGTATACACCTGGTGACGGCTTGGTTATTAGTGAACATCACATACAGTAAAATATCCATATTAAGTGCTACATTTGTACTATGTAAAATTAAAGACAAAAATATATATCTACCTTTATGTTGGCCAGGCAAAGCATGTGCTATTAATCAATATTTAATTTTGGCATCAATTTGCATAAAATGTGAGACCAGGAAATGAGGGGAATGGATCTCCCACACTGTGGTTACTGGTCTACATCCTCAGCTCACAACACAAACACCCAGATTCAACCCCCCCATCCCTCCCAGGCATGACCGAAATGGTTGGACGTGTTTCCTTTCACCTGATGCTGCTGTTCTAGCAGTAAAATAAGTACTTTGGGGTTAGGCAATTCTTGTGGGCTGTATCCTAGGGAAGGTCAGTAGCTGGCCTAGGGGGTGACCTCAATAAGCCTAGGTACAGGCTTCCTGTATCCACCAATGGTAGTTATACTGTGGAAATCAGTGGCCTTCTGTAATCACTGGATGATGCCACGTATTCAAACTGAATAGCGAAAATTAAAATCTAGATGTGATACAAACTGAATTTGCCCCAGAAACCTACATAAGGTGCGAGCTGTAATTTAAGGGATAATTCAAATCAAATCTTCTATTTACCATAAAAGATATAAAATTAAAATAAACAGTTAGCTACTGGTATATGTCAGCTCCCACTTACCTAGGATCAGTCAGAATTTGCTGAAGAGTTTGACAGGGATCAATTTTACAGAGTTTTTCTTTTTCTTTGTCTTCAAAGTAAACATGAAGTTTCTCAAGCTGGTACTTTTTCTCGGTGTCCCATGGTGCTGGTGGAGCATTCTTTCCAAAAATGACTTCCAGGTGATCTCTGATACTGAAAAGCAAATAAATATGTGTCACAACATAATGTACACAAATCATACGTTTTCTAAAATTAAGTTGAGCTCAATAATTAAAGTTTTAATCATATACCTATCCAAATAGGCCTGCAAAGTATACCTTCAAGTTGGTATATATATATATATATATATATAGCAATGAGAATGATCAAGATCATTCTGATCTTGTTGATCATTACTCCTTGCACTGAAAGGAGTAATGGAAGCCACCTCCATTAACAGCTTCAAAAACAAATGTGATACAACAAGAAATTAATTACACAAAGGGCAAGTACTTATGAGGCAGAGCCCAAAGAGCTACATGTCCCTCCTCAGAGCCCGATAGGGAAGCATACCCATAGATCCCCATAGTGCTTGAAGAAATAAATCTTATTGACATATATGGATTGCACACAAGAAATGTTTAGTTCAAAAAAGCTAAGAAGTGGGTGGAGTTGCAGAGATTAGTAGAAGGATGAAAGAAATTGATTGGTGGAAAGGGGAAGTAGCACAGTTTATAATATGATAATGAAATGGGCTTTATGCATACAAAGGCTAACTTTGTATCCCTAAAAATGGAAGTATGAGAGCAATGTAAAATTATTTAGCAGAAAAAATTAATCAATAGGGACAAAATTCAATAAAAATATTCACAGAAAAAATGGAAGCTTCTTTCAAAAGGAGAGCAGCAGGGATACTGGTGGAGGGCTAAATTGGAAGGTTCATGATAAACATGATAGAATGTTAAATAGTGAAGAAGAACTATGAAGTAGGTGGCAAAAACCTTTCAAAAGTCTAAAAGAATCCAATTCGTAGACACAGTAATAATGAAAGATGGCTATATACAATATTGAAGTTAAAGTCTACAGGAGGCCTACCTATAAAAATAATCTTGTGCACTTTCATTCTCACTGCAATAATGAAACAAAATGAGGCAGAATGATTGGTTAATGTTAAGGTTGTTTATCCAAACAGAATAAGAGTGAAAACTCATTCTCCCAACAGGTAAGAGAGCACGCAACATAAACATGAAGATAGGAACTGTGTACAAAATGTCCACTACAATCAATGCTACATCAGAAACACACACAACCAGGAGCAATGCCTTAAATGAACCTTAGATATGTTGTACTCATAATCAAAGAAGAAAACATTAGGAGACAGTGTATCAACAAGAATGAAAGAAAATGAAGTACTGTATAGCTTTCTCTCTTGCTTAATTATTCCCTCAAAGACATCAAATTTAACACACAATCCTTCACAACTTTTTGTCTTCACCTCATTGACCACACCTCATAGGCTCCTCAATGACCTAATCCCATTTACCTCACTGAACTGAACTACTAATAAAGGAAGCCGGTCGGCCAAGCGGACAGCACACTGGACTTGTGATCCTGTGGTCCTGGGTTCGATCCCAGGCGCCGGCGAGAAACAATGGGCACAGTTTCTTTCACCCTATGCCCCTGTTACCTAGCAGTAAAATAGGTACCTGGGTGTTAGTCAGCTGTCACGGGCTGCTTCCTGGGGGTGGAGGCCTGGTCGAGGACCGGGCCGCGGGGACACTAAAGCCCCGAAATCATCTCAAGATAACCCCTATTATTTATCTTTATATGCACTAGACCACTGTACTGTATACATTTAATAAAGCTCTTGCAAATGAAATGTTATCTAAAAACACTAGAAAAATCTTCCCTTATCATGGAGTTTCTCTGCATCATTGTCAGCACTTTTCTAAACATAATTTATTTTGCAATATTTAAAATAAAAAGACATTTCAGAATTTTTGTTCCTCAAAATTTGAGAAATACTGCAGTGATAAGAAAAAGTGGGTCTACATACAGTATGTAAAAGACTTGTAAGCATGAAAATTTAATACCGAAACCTGTGCCAAACACACAGTAATAACAAGCCCCGAACTCCTGATACAGAAAAGGGACATGTACAAATGGGCATAAAACAAATAACACAAATCAAATATATTTACCATTAGTTAGAAAATAACTCACAAATAAACAAACACATAACGTGTATGCAGTACACTCTGACCACGCCTCCACCGGGAGGCCTGGTCGGAGACTGGGCCGCAGGGCCGTTGAGCCCTAGAAGCTACACAAGGTAAAGTAGATACATCAACAAATAAAAATGCAGATACTCTAGCATTAATAAAAATGATGTACATAATGCACTGTCATACAATAACAGAATTTTTCACATACATGAAGCTAAACAACATGCCAAGGCAACTTACCAATTACTTTCTGTGAACTCCTGAATAACATCAGTCTCGTGATGTTCTGGATATAGGAGCATCACTGGCCACACTAACTCTCCCTTCTCATTCAAATGAACACGAGAGCCCTTGAAGAAACATTCATTGGGTTTCGTTTAATACACTAAAACAAATTAAGAAATAGAAGGCGTTTCATGAAGAGAAATAGCAAATGCTATATCTGTGAGAGATATAGCAAATACAGTACATAGAAAGTTATAATTGTAATGCACAAAATTAAAAAAAAAAATAAAATAAAAAAAATATTCATTTTAGTAAATCCGAGGTAAATTGTTATATAGAACTACTGTATCTGATATTTGCAGTACAAATGTATCCTCAAAGCCAAAATCAATGAAAAGATTGGTCTCCATGTTAATACATACGTATGTTTGGCTGTAATTGTAAGTAACTGCCTAAGTGTAGTTACAGGATTAGAGCTACGCTCGTGATGTCCCGTCTTCTAGTAGGACTTCTAGGAATGTGGAACACTTGGGTCTGTTAATTCTAGATAACCTATCTCTATCTCATTATCTGCATTTAAAGCTAATGACAATATGTAACAAGTACTGTATATTACTTCCTTATATGGTTGTTCCACAATAAATAAATTCCCTGCAGTACTTGATTCTTTTCTTTTCCTTGGTTTATCATGATACTCTCCTGTCAACATGCTGCTGCTCTTAGAAACCACAATCTAGTTCTAAGAAAAAGAAGTCAATACAATCCCTTCTATTGCTAAATTTCCCTCAATTCTACTTTCTTGAAACTACTTTAAATTATTATTAATTAAATGTTAAACAAAAGCAAGAAAATAGAATGCTGCAATCTTCATTCTGATCACCAGCACAAGTTCTACAAGAGACATTCTGCTAAACTTCAATCTACATCATTCACATTTGGTTCATCTCACTTTTTGATCTACATAGGTCACAATGTTCTATTATACAGCAGGACCCCAATTATTTGTGTTTCTTAGATTATCTGGAAAATGAATTATTCAGCACTATTTTTACCAAAATAAAATTACTGAAAAAGAATGTCTAGCAATCTTTTCTTCAATTATCCAAATTTGTAGTTTTCCAGACACCCAGAAGAGCTACTGTTATTAATCTGAATAATTGAAGCCACACTTTACTGTATTTAGGGGCAGTACCCCATAGACCTGTTATCAAAATGTGCAATGGCCTATTGACTTGCATCAAATATGGCAGGATCCTAGTATTCTAAGTTTCCACTGATAGCAACAGCATTGTCCATGAAACTGATTACCGTAATTCCTGCTCCAGTTATTTTGAATCAAGGACACTAAAGCAATTTCACAATTTTACACTGCCAAAAATAATGAGGGGACGGGAACTTTATCAAGCAATAAGCTTCCAATGAATCAATCTAAGCTTGATAAACGATTGTACATTTATAATCGAGACTGTTCTCATCGAGGCCACTAGAGATGCTGGCTTTCGGGCAAATTTAGGTAAATACTAACATTTAGAAAACAGTACTGACAAGGTATCATACTGACATGGTAGCAGGAACTACTTTTCAACACGTGACACACAGTAAAATAAACAAATTGGCATAATACACACCTGTGATGTGGGATGACAAGGTTCCAGATCTGACAGGGAAACAGAGGAAGAACCTTTCAAGCCTGCAGTCCCAAGACGTATACCACGATTCTTAATGGCATTTATCAGATTTTCTTCTTCTTCAAATTTTCTATTTTCTTCTTTAACTTTTTTCCGCATATCTCTCTCCACCAATTTCTATTTTAGGAGAAAATATAACGTGTACCTTTTTTTTTTAACTTTGTAAAACATTCAATTTAATTAAGAATGGAAAATGTAATGTACTACAGAGAATCCTTTAAAATGCGACAAAAATATAAGCAATAACTTCTGATGTTGCATCACTTATGTTTTAGATCTTACTCATAGTCATCTTATCTACTAAAAATCACACTAGCAATCAAAATAATTATTGAGGACTGACCATAGTGAAATGTTATTTTCTGAACAAAAACTCCCAGATCCTTCTATAATGAACTACATAGAGTACGGCACATGTATACGATCCACTCAGGACTCGTATCACTTGACAGGCTCTCTTTCATCTTCAATATGACACAATTCATGATACACACCTGGCAGCACAAAACCAGGATCATCCCTTTTCCTCACCATTGAAACAAATGAAGAATTACTGGGCCCATGTTACAGACTGAGCACTAGGAGGAACATTCTCCCCCAACCAGAGCAAACTCAGAACAGCCACTAACAAGGCACTGGGCATGCTCAGGGAAGAAAAGAATACCACCACCTAACCCCTAAATAAGGAAGGAAGGGAAAAGGGGGAGAGGCTCTGGGACAGCATCACTGCATACAAATTAAATCTTTAAGGAAAAAGTAATGACAGTGTAATTCAACAATAGTAAAAAGCTTAGAACACCACCAGCAGCCACAATGGCAGGAGTCCAATGTGAGCACCTGGGAAGGACAAACAGGGACTGCAGTCAAGACCAGAGTGTGAACTGATCTTGTGAGAAGTACAAAACAAGATACACATGGGAGGAACACAAGCCTCAAGATGCCTTAAAAAGGCGAGTGAGGAAGCACACCCAAAAACTAACGTCCACCAACTGTTTACCGAGACACAATGTTAACAGTTGTAATCGGAAAGAGTACCCCAGGTACAACTCATGGTAAACCCCCAATCTAAGCTGCATACACAAAAGGAAGACCAAACCTGCACCCAAGAAAACGATAACAAAGAGGGAACTGGGATAAAAACTGAACTCCTGTGAAGTGTACAAGCATGGGGGCCCTAGAGGAGGATCACCAACAATATCTTAAGTAGACTGAATAGTCAAACCAGGCAGACCTCCTCCATGCAAAAACCAAATAAAGAAAAACTCTGCAAAAGTACAACAACAACAGGAGGAACAGGAAACATGGCTGCTGCCATAAGTATGCGTGCTGTGCAGCACCAATGCTCCCCAACCAGCAACACCACCACCACCTCCTACCCAGGGCCAAACAAAGGCCACAAAACCCCAGCTGGTCCCCAAGGATGGGGTAAATGCAGAGCAGCAGGAACCCCAACGGAAGCGAAGGCAACCCTAGAACCCAAGAGTAGTACTTACAGGACGCTTAGGGAAGGCAGCACTCAGCTCATGCAGTCCCAGTACGCTACGTTACTCCTGGCAACCACTCAACAAACAGTAGGAAAACACCAGATTTTTGGAAACAATGGATTTCCTGCACAAAATCTAGCAGGAAACTGAAGCCAGAGCTGACAGACGCCCCAGAACGCTTCAGCCTATGAACCGAGGTGTGAGTAGCTGGCGCAAGGATCCGGGGCTCTCCCCTCCCCCACCCGGGGTGGGGGGAGCCCCGGATCCTTGCGCTGTGCGGAAAAGCGGCACGGCGGCGGTGAATGATGTTTGCTTGTTTCGTTTGTTTTCTTTTGGGGAGTTCTGTTTCTCTGTTCAGTCTTAGATTTTTTGCAATTTCCTATCATGTGGGGTTTGTTTTGAGATGCCTACCTTTCTGGGTGCCTAGCCCTGGTTGATAGCAGATAGAATAACCCCAAATACAAGGGGAGTTTTCCTAGAGCCATTGCTCCCTACACCTCTCTTAGGGGCCATGTTCTGGCTAGTGGTCCCTGGTAGGCAGAACTCCATTGACTGAAGCCCCAGACTAATATAGCATATATCAGTCCGATAGCTCCAGGGAGCTGAAAGGGTTCCCCACAGAAAGAGTCATAACATGTAGTCTTGGTACAGTACCGTACTTCTAATTTTCACTTGCAGGGGGAAATTTAATAGTCATGATTCATTTCACGGCATTATAGAGATCTAATACTCTCAAGTGGTGGCTTGAATTAGGTTCTCCACTGTCTCCCTTCCCTAGACACCTCATAGTATCACTTGCAAAGATGCCTTTGCAAAGATGGGGATAAAAGTGTTGACAACCTGGCAAGTGATATAAATCTTGAGTGTCCTATGGGAGCATCTGAAGGGCCTCAGCACTAAAATAATTTGTGAAATTAGTAATTATAGTACAGCATTAATAGGCTGCAACGGTTATCATAATCACTAGGGTGAACAGTAAAATACTATGCAAATATAAGGAGGGTTTGAAACATTAAATTCATTAAATTCAGATCATTCTATTACTTTTGTAATATGGCAATTATCTTTATATTAAAATACCTCATTCGTGTACAGAGAATAAGGGGGCATAACTAAGAAAATTAAAAGTTGTTCAATTTCAATAAAAATTTTTGGACAGAATAGAACTGCTAAGACCTCCTACTGACAGAATTTTCAGCCCCGTAAGACAATATTTCTTGTAAACAAAAATGAAAAGAAAAGGCACATTTTCAAAACTAACAAAATATAAATGTTATGTTTTTTTGTTATCTCTAATGCACTTAGCTATCATAATGCCCTTTAATCTTGAATTTGTATCAGATATTTCTATTCTACATATGTCTAGTTGTAGTAAAAAAAAAAAAAACTTCCATTATGTGCACAATATAATAATAGTTTAATTTCCTATAATGGTCAAAACAATACTTTCTTACTCATGGAAAAATCTGAAATAAGGGAAACTTTTAAGGAAAATATCATGAATAGTAGAGAATTTTCTATCTGCATTAATTGGATAGAAGATGGATAAAGTACAGCACAACAAGGAAATGGTGCTGTACTGTACTTTAATTTTCAGTACATATGCATTTATAAAAAAAATTGAGCAATGCAGTACTCAAAATTTCAGCAAATGTAGAATACAGTATAACTATATACTGTATCTGCATTAGTAAGGAAAATAAGCAATAGCCAGTACTCTTTAATTTTCAGTAAATGTTTGTAAGCAAGAAAATCTCTCAACTATACATTAAATCCCCACAAACAAATGTAAAGGTTCACCTTTTCTCTGACTGCTGTTAATCTGCTAGTTTTTAGCTTCTGATTGGTGGATTCAATTCTGAGGCCTCTATCACACCACGTGATGACTTCATCCCAGGATTGTAATTTTGTAGCACAGTCCATTGCTCTTACAATAGCTTTCGGATAGTCTGGCTTAAATTCAACAGCCTTTTCACAGTCTTTGATTGCCGATCGATAATTACCTAAAATAAATCATGAAACATGGACTCAATATTACAAGAAACAGTTGTAGTCTTGGGAAAGCTATCAAGGATATTTAAAACCAAATTCTATGGTTCGTTTTCATTCTGAGTTGGCAAGGTTTTAGTTCACTCAGGAACGGCCCTGCTACCTTTTGAAAATGAGTTTTGAGGCTGGGGACGTGTGAAATAAACTAGGTGTGGTTAAATATTTTTGCAGACATGTTCATTTGGTAGTTGTCTATTATTGGTTGAAATGAAGATTTCACTAAGTGAAATTAGCCATAGAGCACAGGAAATGCATCCTGAAGGCATCTACGAAAAAAGATTTTGAAGACAGAACAAATGCAAAAGAAATTAAAAAAAAAAAGGCAATATAGATGAAATAAAAAGAGATGAAAGAGAAATCACTGAAATAATGAACAGATATAAAATAAATGTTTTGAAGATGTTGATTGTGTTAACAACATGAAAGAGTATTAAAATACTGCATAGACAGGATAATTTATATTAACGTGTATCAATTTTTTTTTTGCCAAGATACTAATCATAAGGAAACTACTGAATTTTTTTCAACAAATACTCTGATAACTTACCAAGATGCCAATGTGCAGCCGCCCTATTGTTATGGAGCTGGGCATTTGTTTCATTATCTGGACACTTTTGTTTCAAGCCCTCTGAAAAGTTGGCAACTGCAAGTCGGTATTTCTTGTATTTAAACTGTAAATTGCCTTCCTCCTTATAATTTTGTGCAACCTCTGAAAAAAAATCAAAGTGGCATACTGCATTAACCCTCCAAGTTGTACATACATAGACAAACCTATAGAGTAGCTTATGCCTTTGCCTTGAGACAAGTAGATATACTATTTCTGCCGTAAATCATTAGTTCTCCGAGTTTCAACCATGTGAAGGTGAGGGGGGAAAAAGCAAGGTTCCAGTAGAGGGTAGACCACCAAGTCCTGCCAAGGAGCAGATGTGATCACCGATTATTACGGGGGGTTAATGGCTTCATAAGAGCACTCGCAGACGTTTGCTGTGGAGGAGAATCTTGGGCAAAGAGTAAAACCTTAGACTTAGAAGACCAGAGAACTTAATTACTGCAGTAGGCCAAGATGCTGATCCTCATGAGAGAGAGCTACTGAAGAACCATCCTGGTAAGTATGAAAAAACATTCTGGGAGTCAGATTCAGCTCTTTTTTTTTTTGTACAAGAGTTCTTACATTCTTGTACAGCCACTAGCATGCATAGCATTTCGGGCAAGTCCTTAATCCTAATTTTTCTCACATACACACTTAGGTAATTACTGGTAGTTCCTGTAACTCCACTTAGGTAATTACACACACACACACACACACACAGCACGGGTGGGACCCAAACAAGGGGACACAGGTGGAAACTTAGTACCCAGATGAGTCACAGAGGTTAGAAAGAATTTTTTCAGTGTCTAGAGTAGATAATAAATGGAATGCACTAGGCAGTGATGTGGTGGAGGCTGACTCCATACACAGTTTCAAATGTAGATATGATAGAGCCCAGTAGGCTCAGGAATCTGTACACCAGTTGATTGACAGTTGAGAGGCGGGACCAAAGAGACAAAGCTCAACCCCCGCAAGCATAATTAGGAAAACACAAGAATCAAACAAGAATCCAATCCTGTTCCAATCCTGAGAACTTGACTCACAAGATGTTTAAATCAGTCAGGCTAAACCATCCTCTAAATAAGGAAATCCACAAGTATTTATTTGCATGTGTCTGAAACATTGCAAGTATGTCATAAAAGGACTGTTAAGACAAATGTTCAAGCAGGGTCAAAGCCCAAACGTGGAAAAGTAACCTAGTTTGGGAAAGAAAGCATGGTGAGTTGTGCTAATAATAAAATATTAGTTCATCACATTTTAGAATTACAAAGTACAGTATAAATGTCTTTTCACCACATCACAAAGAAATCACAATGACATGATATATCAATGAGAAAATCATTTCGGACAATGATTTGACATGAACCAGCATTCTGATGATTCCCAGACACCTGCCTAAACCCAATCAACCATAATAGGACAAAAGCCTATCAACCCGGAACTCTACTGGGAGGTCTTGGAGGCCTGAACCGATACCAACCAGGATTTTATGATTGCCCTCCAACACTCTGGCCTATGGATAATGGTGCTCACACTCTTACCTTCAGCTACTCTTAACCCAAGGTTAAGGTGATAAAAGGGGAGCGTAAGAGTGTGAACACCATTACCCGCAGGCCAGAGTGTAGGAGGGCCTATCATAAAATCCTGGTTGGCCAGTTTGGGTCTTCAGAACCTCCCAGTGAACTCAGTAGAGTTCTGTGTTGATAAGCTTTTATCCTATAATAGCTGAGTGGGCTAAGGCAGACATCTGGGACTCACCAGAATGCCGGTTCAAGTCCTCTTATAGCCCCAAAATGATTTTCTTATCTTCTATACACATCTTTATTTCAAACACAGTTCCGTTGAATAGAAACACCGAATTTACCTTACCTTGTGGAGAGTTGTGGTCTGGGTCAAATTTTAGTTGTGCCAACCCCTCACTGAGTGGGTTGATAGGTGCCTCTGCTTCGGTGACACCCTCACCCTGAATATACGGTGCAAACAGGGGATGTTCTGCCATTTGCTGTTGGTATCATATGTTATGTTAGGAAAGTAAGCTCTAACTTACACTTATGTAAGCATTAGAATGCAGTGTACAAAATTAGATTAAAAACAATTAATGACTAATAATGAAATCATTATTAATCAATTAATTATTAATAATGATTATTCATGAACACTTTCATAGACAATATTATGGAACAATAGAAAAAAAAGTTACTAACTTCCTTCCAGTTTTCTTCAGTCCATCCTCCTTCGTATTTAGACTTGCCCATAGCACTGATGTGGCTATCGAGGTCTTGTTCAAGCTGCTTGCATAGTTCGGCACGTTCCTCAGGTGTCCAGTCCTCTTTCCCACCTAACTTCTCCTTAATTATTTTCTCTTTCCATTCCTCTGCCATAGTTGAATCTCTAAGTGTTCAAACTGAAAAAAAAAATAAAACTGTAAATAAAACTGGATAAAATTCAAGCAGCTAAATAGAATACAGTATACTAAAGGTCTATTAACCAACATATTATTTATTTTCTATTTACAGTAGTTTTCCATTGTCGGGGACAGGAAACTTGTTGGATTTATTGAGGTCCTGAGGTTCTCAAAGTAGTCAAAAACTTACTATTCTCAGAAATACAATCCACAAAAGTTGTCTAACTCCTGGGTATCCAATAACTGCTAGGTAAACAGAGGCATCTGGTGAAAGGAAACTATTCAAATGTTTGTCTTGCCTGTTAATCAAACCTGGAACCTTATACTGCAGGTTACTAATGAACAGTTCCAACCAAAAACATTAACCTAGAAATAAAACAATATTTAACAACATTTTGGAAGAAGCCAATGTGTGAAAAGTACGAGTAGTTGTTTATATTCATGTACAGGTACTGTATATGTAGGACAGAAAACCAGAGATACTTTTTCATTCACAGGGTTATGAACTTATGGAACCACCTACCTGGCAATTTCTGAAAATGCCAAAACATTGCTGCAGTTTAAAATCTAGCTGGACAAAAATCATGAAAATCAGGGGACCTTTGACAAGCTACAGTATTAGGTTTTCTTCAAAATAGATCCTGCCTTACAAACCTGCTCACATTTTTGGAAATGGTAACTAGCTACTCGGACAAATGTACTTCCGGTGGATGTATTATGTGTATATGGATTTTTGCTAAAGCCTTTGATAAGGTATCACATGAAAGACTGACAAGGAAATTACAGGCACACGAAATGGGGTCCTGATATTACAGTCGGGTTCGTTCTCGACTCACAATCAAGAATTCCGGGTTCGAATTCCAGGTGGGACAGAAATGGTTGGGCATATTTTCTATCACTTAATACCCTGTTCACCTAGCAGTAAGTAGATAGTCATGAGTTAGTCAGGGGGGAAGGGGGGGGGGGACTTCAATATAAACTTAACGTGTATGAAAAAGCACTGACTGGCTGCCTGCCAGTCCATTTTGAGGCCAACTTATTTTGTCATACACATCAATGCTATAGATGAGAATATTACAAACTACATCATCAAATTTGCATATGACAAAGATTTATGTTAAAGTGGGAACTGAAAATGATATTGAAACCTTATAAAATTTACATAAACTCCACAAATGGTCAAATGACTGGCAATTTTTGTTAATATCAACAGATGCAAGACCTTGCATGTGGGGCACAGCAACCCACATCACAACCATAAAATTAATAACATAGAAGTGCAGCAGATTGATGAAGAAAAAGACCTTGGAATCAAAATCCCCCATTCACTGAAAGTTGAAGAACAATTAGAAGCAGCAGTAAAAAAAAAAAAAAAGTTAACCGAAAAATCTAGCGTTCCTTTGACTTTAAGGAAAAGAAGGTAGTGATTAAATTGTATAAATCTCCTATGGAGTGCCCCAATTTGGATTACTATATCCAAGCATGGAGACCTCATCTTCAAAAGGACATAGCTGCTCTGGAGAAAATGCAACACCGGGCAATAAAAATCATTCCAGAACTAAGTCAACTCTCATACCAGGAACGGTTGCGGGCCGCAGAGCTAACAACACTGCAAACCAGACATAAGGCTGATCTCATCGAAACTTTTAAAATAAATACTGAACAATTTGGAGCATGCTGATCCAGACTATTTCTTCAAAACTTCAGATATAACACAATCAGGGAGTAACTGTTTCAAGCTCAACAAGCCACAATGTAGGACTGAAAGCAGGAAATGATTTTTCACCCACAGGGTTATAAATCTATGGAACTGCCTATGCACCGAAGCCATAAATAACAAAACTGTTAAATTTTAAAATCAAACTGGAAAAAATCATTAGTGCAAATGGGGGGGGGGGACCTATGACAAGCCACTGGCTTCCTGTCCTCATCGAGGTCATGAGTTTGTAAGTGGCCCTCGGGAAAATTAAGGTAAATTTTGTGTTTAATCATTTTTGTGGGCATCCAGATGTGTAGCATTTACATCAGCGGGCGCTGCTCTTACAAAGCCCGGATTATGTCTACCATATCACTGAGCTTCATTTAATAAGTTCAACACTCAACATAAGTTGAGTTTTAAAATATACTTGTAAAAGATCATCAAGGCAAATGAGGGGGGGGGGGGGACCATTGACAAGCCTCTGACTTCCTGTCCTCATCAAAGCCACTAGGGTTAGTGGCCCCTCAGGTAAATTGGGTAAAAATAACTATATGCCTGTCAAGTAATAGACTTTAACTGTCAATTGTATTATATTTGGTTTTAATATTGACCAATCCCATGTATATGAAACGTACAAATTTTGTGTCCGAAATAGTAAAAATGGGGACTGGTTGTTCGAGACACGAGACGTTTCGAAGAAGCTTGTTTTGTTGTTAAAAGCGTATATATTGCTATGCTAGGCTGTATCTATTTATTTATTTATATATATACAAGAAGGTACATTGGGTTTGTGAGAATACATAGCATAGTACAGTAATTGCACTCTTGTAAAGCCACTAGTACACGCAGCGTTTCGGGCAGAAATGTATCAGCTTAGGTTAGGATGTATGGGGCTCAGCTGGGTTAGGTTAGGCTAGGTTGGGTTGAGCCATGTTAAGTAGGCATCAAAACCCGCTGGCGAACCGTGTTGTATATAAAGTGAAGAATATTCGGTAAAAATAGTGCACGCGATGGGTGATGATGAGCTCCTGCTAAACCCTTCTTCTTTTTCTTGATAATAGGTGCAGTTTGAATGAAGGGTTTGTCCTCACCAGTACAGATGTTGGGAGACGCCTTTATGTTGAGGATGATATGAGTGTCAAAGGTGCTTGTTGCGTTGTATTGTAGATAGAGGAGCGGCGACTACAACAAAGGTGTATGTTAGAGGGAGACACTTGCCGCACCTCAGGGCGGTGTGTTGTGTTTATGGCGTCAGCTGATCCATGGTGTTCCGACGAGGCTGTGGTGTTTTCTGTGTTTAGCTAATAATAATAATAATATTTTATTTGGGAAAAGTACATACATAATTGCAGTTACAAATATTCTGATTGATTTATAGATAGAGCTAGTACATACAATACGTAAAGCCACGAGAACGCATAAGGTTTCGGGCAGCGCTGGCGCACCAACCTGCGCCCTGTTGGTGGCGCCAGGTATAAATGCGGCGCGGGTCAGATGTGACCCAATTTGTTGGTCGACTGGAGATATTTAACCAGTGCTTTGACTATTTGGTATTTTTCCTGTAACGAGAGGTCAACTACTCCTAATATATGCTCGATGGTAAAGGGTATTTTAAGAGCGATAAATACTTGTTTGAAATTTACTCTATCACTATGCCAACCCTATAGAGCGTATCTATTTAATGTCTATTTAGCAACCCTATAGAGACAATTCTATAACCAATGTACCAACGATGTGTCAATATTTCATTCAAAATGATCTGCTACCAGATATTTTAGCCAAATATTCCGTTTGCTAACTGTAGGTAGTAACTAAGAGTGATTGTAACCTATCCACCGCTGCCCACTGGATGGGGGGCGGTGTGCAGGACAAACATATCAATTGTGACACTAGCTCTCCACATATGTCAATTACTTAACTTAGAAACTGTACTTGTGGTCGATCTCGAACCCATTTATGATGTGACGACTTATACTGAATTTTGTAACTAGCTCATCAAGATTGTAACTTGCTTAGCTAAATGAATTGTGGGGTTCAGTCCCTGAGCCCATTATGTGCCTCTGTAACCCTTTCCACTACCGCCCACAGGATGGGTATGGGGTGCATAATAAATGAACTAAACTAAACTCATGAGTTCTATTACACCTATCAAGGAAAAGTTTCAAATCAAGATTTCGTTCAATATAAGAACCATGATATAAGATGATAGCAGTGATTACAATGGTGAAGTTGCTTTCATACATTTTTCACATTAATGGTCACAAATTGCTCAGCTGAGCGTTCATTTTCTCAGTTGAAGTATATTTTAAATCTCAGCAGAAGTTTTATGCAACAAGGCAGGATTGATGTCAGAAGCGGCTGTCGTACGAAAGATTCTGCCCGAAACGCTGCGCGTACTAGTGGCTTTACAAGAATGTAAATACTGTACTATCCAATGTATTCTCACAAACCCAATGTACCTTCCTGTATATATATAAATAAATAAATAAAATAAAATAAATTAGATTTTAGGATCTGATCAAAGACTTTGCAATTAGAACAAGTAGGAGAAAACTTTTGAAATATAAATAAGTGTAGTAATGTATAAAATTAAACATTAATTTCCATCTTACTCTAAGTTCTATTTCATTTCGAAAAATGAGATGTTCTTTTATGGTTTATTATTGTTTATGTTTCGAAATAGATATATATATTGGGGCACCACAGTCTGTTAAGTGTTAAGGGTCTCTTAAGGTCTTAATCCGGCCCTGTCCTCTAATTATATGCAACGCTCTCAGTGTAATAATGTAAGTTGTAGTGTTAGACACATTCATCTTAGGAATTTTCCGTGTGTGAGAGTTTGTTTTAGGTGATGCCACTGCTTATTCATTTATTTACTCAGACAAAGAAAGTAATTGTGATTAGTAGAAAAAGTTAATAAGTTTCAGTGTGTACATGTAGTAATAAGTTTTAGTGTGTACATGTAGTACACACTAAATTATTCACATGTAAATTAGATTGAGTGCCAGACCTGAAGGAGATAACTAGGATTACTTGAGATGATAACAGGCGTCAACAACATCTTGATTGTCATCTAGCAGGTGCTTCAAGGAGAATGTCACACAGAGCACTGTTAGGTACTGGTGAAGAGGAGGATGTGAAGCGAGGTACGTGGTACTGGCAGGCAAGAAAGTGCTTGACAGGGATGCAGTTGCAGTGGTTGCAGATGGCAGTAAACGATGCAGGGCTGGAAGTGCATGAAGACATTACATCTGAGGTGGAGACGACCTCCTTTTCTACTGGAGTTCGACCAGTCAGTGAAGGTGCATTTAAGTGCGTAAGGCACTTAAATCCACTGGCTTCACCACAGTTGTCAGTTGTCACGATTTCCCTCCCAAAGAGAGCAGTGGCCCCCAGGGTACCAAAGTGACTTCTCCGAGCTCCATAAACGACTTGGCTAAGGCATCGACTGAGTCATTACTGCAAATGTTGCAATAACCAGCAGGTGCCCAGATGTAGAGATGTTGGTTTAGTGCTGGGCTTAAACCTTACATACATTCTTGTACAGCCACTAGTACGCGTAGCGTTTCGGGCAAGTCCTTAATCCTATGGTCCCTGGAATACGATCCCCTGCCGCGAAGAATCGTTTTTCGTAAGGCGAGTGTCTTACCACTACACCACGGAGACTGCCGTTATTAGCTTATTAACCTCCCGAGGGTTGTTAACGCCATCACAATACCTTACTGAAAACCAGCGAGGATAATTTAGTCATGAACATAGTCCAGGACTAAAGTCAACTTCCTGTGTAGGTTGCAACCTGCTCTCGCACCACATATATGTCTTATTGCTTACAGTCCCTATTTTGCTTATAAATAGGTATATATGTGACATACTCCGAGCCATATTTTTTTTCAAAGCACTAACTTTTTCTCTCAGTTTAATTAAACAATAGAGATTTTATACAAAATTTGACAATATCCTGAGTTACTTTACAATTTATTTAAATATTTTAGTTTTGTTTTATTATTTTTATAAAACTATAATATCAATATAGGTATAGGTTCAGTACTAATTGTAATATCTTAACATACTAAGAAGGTTAGGTTAGGTCGGTGTTTTCTATTCAACTTTTTAAGGTAAACTCAAATATTCACAATAAATTAGTATGTCACATATGCACTTATTCATAAGCAAGTTATTGACTATATTCCCCGACAAGTGGGGTATACCTCTCCGTGTATATATCCCTTGAGTAACACTTATGATCAGTGTATAATCTAATGCACTTTACAGACTTAAGTATACATAAATACTTTACTTAAGTCTGAGTAATTATTTTATAACATCTACAAGGGCCCACACTTTATCTTGGTGGGAAACAGTATTCAACTAATTCCAAAATAATTTCTTAGGGAACAGAAACAGCCAGGAACATTGCTAATATATTTATAAGATTTACAATGTATAAAACAGTATATTTAATACCGCAGTACCTGTAAGCTATAGACATATCTGGAGGGAACATAACTCGTAAATATAATACAGTGGCAATATTAACTAAACAAATGTGTTTAGGCACGGATACATAGATGAAGTGGTGGAGGCAGACTCCATATACAGCTTTAAATGTAGCTATGACACAGCCTTGGCTTTGGAATCTATTCACCAGTCTATTATGGATTGAGAGGTGGGGACCCAAGAGCCGTGGCTCAACCTCCCACAAATACAGTTAGGCGAGTATATAGAAAATAATAAAGAGACAATAAATGGGTTTAAAAAAATACTGCTGCATTGTGGTCAAAATTAACAAGAAATCACAAAGAGCTTTGCACTGTAATCGTTTTCTTCATCATAGCCTATCAAGAAACAGGAAGCCTATCAAGTTCGACGAGGACCCCCCGCCCCTCCTGAGCCTCTTCATCTGGCCCCTCCCGCGAAGGGTGTACGACACCCTTCCCCAAGATGACCCATAACAGTTAACCAACTCTCAGGCACCTAGTTACTGCTAGGGTGAAACAGAGGCTTCGAAATGTACAAAAAAACGTCCATAAAAGCTACGTCCTATACAGGAATCGAACCGATTACCAATTAGTTGTGAGCCGAGTATGCCAATGACTGTTGGGTACCGAGAGCTAAACACACATGTGTCTCGTGTGTTTACATGCCACTTGGGGCACACGTGCCATAGGTTCGCTACTCCGTTAAGCTTACACAGGCTTCCTATCCTCGACTATGGGAAACCATTAACTCTTACAGTCAGATCCAACAGGTTCCTTCTTAATAATATAAGTGAACCCTGTCTGGAATTGATTTTAAAATAGATTTACAATATAAAAAAAAATACTGAAGGGATTCACCTAAAAGTAATTAAAGACTGTCAACTAAGATCTATTCTATGATTGGATATTAACTTAGTATCTATATCTAGAAATTATGAGACAATTATAACTAAGCAACTGTGTTGTGAAAATGTTAATAATATCAGTTCCTAGTGGTCCCTCGCTTATAGTTTACTTAGTACAAGCAAAAGGAAACCTTCATTTATTACATTATTTTAATCAGAAACGATTCATTGATTCTGAAAATCCATGTAAAGCTTTCACAATGAAAAGTAAACAATCATTTACGACAACATTGTAAATTGTTAAGATTAAGAGTGCTTCTTCAGTTGAACTTGAGATCTAGAGAGCCTCGTGAATTGACCTTAAGGATATGTAGTGCTTCCTGAGTTGACCTTAAGATCTGAGGTGCCTTGTGAACTGACCTTAAGATCAAATGTTTAGAATGTTGATCTTGAGATCTAGAAAGTTTCGCAATAAACCATCTTTGTGACAAGCGACATGTTGCTTTGATATTTGTGTGGTGGTCTTGTCTCGGTTGACAAGACATAACCAGTCTTGGTAGGCGTCTGCGTGTGGCTTTAGCAGGCACCTATGTTTGCGGAGGCATCTGGTGGCGGTCTTAGCAGATATCAATGGCATCTCACAGCTGCCAGAGGACCAAATATAATCCACTGGACACAATATGCTCTACTAACGTTAAATCAACGATGTTTCAATGTTACACCAACGTCATTTGCCCAGATTTGTCCCTTATGGAATGAGCAGCACCGAAAGGAACCCAATCACCTACTGTCTGATTAGATTTCGCAATCTCATGTTTTCCTGAAGATGTGGAGGAAGGTGTTGAGGAACATAGAGGGACGCACCCACAGGCTCGCCATTACTTGAGTCCTCGGGAATACTGTTGGGTGACCTCTTGGTAACGCCATTTGCAATATCCGAGGATGAGCTGTGGAAGATATCGTTGGTCATCTGCTTTGGGACGTTGTTAGACATACCATTTATTAACCCGACTGGCGCACCAATGTAACACATGTTTGTAAGGTAGTCTCTTCTTCCGTTTCCTCGAGCTTCTCCCTAAAATATAAAACTTTTGTCACATTAAATTGTTTTAATTTGCATGCGGATCTGTCTATGGTAAAACATGCAGCTATGTAATTAGTCCAGTCACTAGCCACTAAAGTCTCTGAATTAATGATGTGTCTACATAAGTACGTATCAAAATAAAATAATGACTACTTACAATGACTGGTGGAGACTATAGATCAAAAGATCAATATAGCTAGGAATCATAACACCAAATTTTGAGAATAAGATTGAATCTGACAAAGTTTGCAGCTAACTTTGTATGGCTGAGATGAACACCACAATCCTTAGAGTGCAGCTTATGTCAATTATGTTTTTCACTAAATAAATTTATGACAATTAGTTTTGGCTAATAGATACTGTACCTTGAATTTAGAAGATTTGATATTTCTCTGGTTATTTTCGCGCCAAAAAATATAAATTGCGTTATAATAGTAATTAATTATTATTTTTTTTAAGAGCACATGACATTATCATGCACATAGTTATTAAAAATTTATATTTGGGACAACTTAATGTTTTTTCTTTAGTTTACCATATTTATTGTGCTCTCCACTTCTTCCTATAAGAGAAAATTGTAAATTATGGGGTAACTCTTCCCTTCAAATTTCAGAACGTATTAAGTCAATATCAGAATGTAATTATTATAGTAGATGAACTTATAGCTAGTTGCTTAGACAGAGTTGGTTTGTTTCTGTAATGAGGCAAGTATTTTCTCCCCTGATTCCATGTATGACTAACCATCCTGTGAGATGGGAGTATTAGATGAACTTATACTTAATTTTTGATCTACACTGTGTAATCTTTCATATAGAATAGGGTAGAAGCCCATTACTGTGTTTACCTATGCTTGTTAATAACAAAATATGAATTTCTGTTTATCCAAGGAAATATGAATTTTTGTTCTCTGTTTTTAATTCTTATTTTGAAGGAAATAACTCACGAATCTGTCGAATTATTTTATAATTCGACAGATTCGAATCTGTCGAATTATAAAATTAAATATAATTTAAAATTAAATATAATTTTGACAGATTCAAAAATCTGTCGAATTATTTTTATTAAACAAAAAAAGGTGTAACACATTTCTCTGAGTATATAGTAACTAAGTGACTGTAACCTATCCACCGCTGCCCACTAGATGGGGGGGGGGCGGTGTACAGGATAAACACATCAATTGTGACACTAGCTCTCCACATATGTCAGTTGCTTAATTTAGAAACTGTACTTGTGGTCGGTCTCGAGCCCATTGTTGATGTGAAGATGTGCATTGAATTTTGTAACTAAACTTGACTTACTATTTTTGTAACTAAACTTGTTTGTTTTGTAACTTAGTCCTGAAAGCATAAAATATAAACTACATATTAAATACGGGAGTTCACATGACCTGGTCCTTGCCGCGTTTCCGGTACGCCTTGATGTAGAAGTCAGTGAAGAGGATGAAGAAGAGAGCAGCGAAGCCACAGAGCCACCGTACGAACACTGACGGCACATCACACTCCAGGAACATCAGCTGAAATACATAAGTCACCGCCTCGATCACTAGTAAACATACATTATTCTCGCTCTCTTCCCTACAAAGAGCCGAAGCACGACCCCCCCTCAAGCACCACTAGATGAGCACAGGGACATACACACTGAAAAGTGTATATGTCCCTATGTATATATAAACGTGTACAGGAGGCATCACGGCTCCTGTGGATTTTCTCATTGATTACAATGGTGAAGTTGCATGTCGTAAAGGCACTAATAATAGGGAAGAGGATATCATATGATACAGTGCGAGTTTGAAGCACAAGGTAGGAAACTATGAGGATGAATTTAAGTACTTTTTGGTTTTACTTTTGAATAAGGCGCAGGTTGTACATAGCTAACCAGTTGGTTGGACAGCTTTGTAATTCGTTAGGGAGTAAGTCCATAGACTGGATCCCTTTATTTGGGTGGAGTGTTTGCACAGATTTAGTTTGACTCTGGGGATATCAAAGAGATATTTATGTCTGGTGGTGATCATGAGTTCTATTACATCTGTCAAGGAAGAGTTTCGGATCAAGATTTGCATTTAGGAACAAGGTTTTGTACACTAAATAGCACAAGAGAATGTGTGGAGTGAGTGTATGTTTAGTATGTTTAGGGATTTAAATAGAGGGGCTGTGTGTTGTCTGAAGACACCGTTTGTTATTGTTCTGATAGCATATTTTTGCTGAGTGATGATGGGCTTGAGGTAATTTGCAGTGGTTGAACCCCATGCACAGATACCGTATGTAAGATGGGGGATAGATTAGGGAGTAATCATAATATCTGATTTTAGAGAGAATACCGAGAGTTTTTGGGCTGTGTTTTATGTGGGTGGTGAAGTTGAGTCTCTTGTCTATGTATATACCAAGGAACTTTCCATCATTATTATTGCTGATGTTAACATTGTCTATCTGAAGCTGAATTTCATTTGATATTTGCTTCCAAATAAAATATAGTAAATTTCTTCTATGTTTAGTGTGAATTTGTTGGTTGACATCCACGGTGGACTTTTTTTTTAATTCGTTATTTACATCATTATTTAGTGTGTGTGGGTGTTGAGGTCAGATTAGATGAAGGTAGTATCGTCAGCAAATAGTATAGGCTTAAGAATGTTAGAGACATTAGGCAGATCATTGATGTATATAAGAAATAGGAGAGGTACCAGGATGCTGCCCTGTGGCACTCCTACGGTTAATGGTATAGTGGAGGAGGTTATATCATTGATGGCTACATATTGGTGTCTGTCACTAAGATAGGATCGAATATAGTTCAGAGCAAGGCCTCGGATTCCATAATGGTGAAGTTTAAGTAAGAGATAGTTAATTGTTTACTGTATCGACGTCCTCTCTCAGGTCAACGAAGAGCCCAACTGGGAACTCATTTTTGTCAAGGTCTGTACTCACCTAGTTGTGTTTGCGGGGGTTGAGCTCTGGCTCTTTGGTCCCGCCTCTCAACCGTCAATCAACTGATGTACAGATTCCTGAGCCTACTGGGCTCTGTCATATCTACATTTGAAACTGTGTATGGAGTGAGCCTCCACCACATCACTTCCTAGTGCATTCCATTTACTAACTACTCTGACACTGAAAAAGTTCTTTCTAATGTGTAGGTGTCTTGCTGTCCCCGACTGTGGGAATTTTGAGAATGTATACCACCAGATGCCACTATAAAGTCAACAATCACTGCTTCATATAGGCCTTCTGCAGTGTCTTTACACTTTTGTCCTCACCGAGAGAGAGTGGAAGAATATGGCTGTGAACTGGACCATCTGGAGGGTGGTGAGGTACTTCTTCCACCAGAGGAAGGGACGGACTCGGGGCCCCATGGCCGCCAGCAGGTAGTACGAGTACATGACGGCGTGGACGAAGGCGTTCAGGAACCCCATGAAGGTGCTGTGACCGCCTGGGGGAATATATAGGGATCTGTTATTATCATCAAACCCTCATCAGGTGAGGGATTAATTACTCATATATACTCTCGCAACGGCTCCAGGAAGTCACTGCTATCCCTGCTTCCGGATCCATCAGCTCCTTGACAACCACTTACCTCGTCCCTGCAGGAGACCGGGCCAACCTAACCTCGATAACGGTACTATCCTCCTCTTTAGCGACTATCCTTTCCTTATTCTTACCTGCTCCTCACATCACTTTCTTACCTGCATTTCACTTCTCATCTTTCTCTCTCTCTCTCTCTCTCTCTCTCTCTCTCTCTCTTACCTTATATATTTGCTAGCACCTTCCTCTCTTCTCTCACACAACTTGAGAATGGTCCAAGACGGACCGAAACGTCGTCGCGTCTCCGCCTTCTGAGCTGTGGTTTGGTCTTCATTTCTTCAACCGCGTTAATGTGACTCATCGTGTGAGTAAGGAGAGACTCACCTGGTTGATATAGGACGCCAAACCACACACTCGAAGGCATCAATGAGTGGTGAGTGACGTGGAGCAGCGAGATGTGCTCATGTTTCTTGTTGAGCACGAAGAACACCTGAAGAACATCACACAGGTGAGTCATGAGAACCATCTAAGATGTTCAGCACAAAAAGAACACCTGAAGAACATACATCACACAGGGGAGTCATGCGAACTACTTGAGGTGTATTTCCACGTTTAAAGTGTCTTTGCCAACACAAGTTTGCACTTTAACCGAAAGATATAGTAAGTGATCATTAGTAGATCTTGTCCACAGGTGTTAAACAGGTGGAAACTCCAGATGACGTCATCACTGATGAGTAACCCACCACACGTCAGAAAATGATGAAACGACGAAGACGTTTCGCTTGACGGAGCGAAACGTCGTCGTCTCTTCATCTTCTAATGTGTGGTTTTGGTCATCATATCTTTATCATCATATCATAAACGGCTACGTTTATGTCACTCGTCGCTGACGTCATCATTGAAATTGAAATTGAAATAAGTTTATTGTGGTAAAATACACACAAAGGGATGAGGCAGCTCAAGCTATTCTCACCCCGTTCAGTACATCGTGTTAATATATACATACACACATCACAAACAATAAACATATTACCAAACAGACGTCATCATTGTTCAGATAATCTAGACTAATGCTTCGCTTGTGGAATGACTCAATTATACAAAACATATATACCTACTATGAGACAGTATAATCAGAACCTCTAATATTTTATTTAAATCAAGTATTATTAATATTATGAGAAAAAAACAGTTGGATTCGAACTCACGAGAAGGGTTCGAATGAGCACCCTGGGGGTACTCCCAAGCACAGACCTCACACCACTGGATTCACGTTCGAATCCTTATCATGCCTTCAGCTGATTTTCCCTTTGATACATCACGTTAATGTGAGTTCTTTATGCATTATCAAATATATTTATATTTTTAACACACGGATACATACGCATACACACAACTGAGCAAGTGTTGGGATGGATGAGGTAATACCCCTCTGGGAGGAAACAGAAAGTAATGGGCTCACCATAGCCCGTGCTTCATGGAACGTTTTGTTCTCGGTAGCTGAATCTTAAACAACAACACTTGAGTTGTGAGAGGTATGTCAACAACCTGGCGGAGGCGACAGAATCACACGTGTCCTTGTTTTCAGATGATACAAGATCTATTGGAGGTATGGCACTGGAAACAGATCGTATGGCACTGGAAACAGATCGTATGGCACTGGAAACAGATCGTATGGCACTGGAAACAGATCGTATGGCACTGGAAACAAATCGTATGACACTGGAAATAGATCGTATGGCACTGGAAACAGATCGTATGGCACTGGAAACAGATCGTATGGCACTGGAAACAGATCGTATGGCACTGGAAACAGATCGTATGGCACTGGAAACAGATCGTATGGCACTGGAAACAGATCGTATGACACTGGAAACAGATCGTATGGCACTGGAAACAGATCGTATGGCACTGGAAACAGATCGTATGGCACTGGAAACAGACCGTATGGCACTGGAAACAGATCGTATGACACTGGAAACAGATCGTATGGCACTGGAAACAGATCGTATGGCACTGGAAACAGATCGTATGGCACTGGAAACAGATCGTATGGCACTGGAAACAGATCGTATGGCACTGGAAACAGATCGTATGGCACTGGAAACAGATCGTATGGCACTGGAAACAGATCGTAAACAGATCGTATGGCACTGGAAACAGATCGTATGGCACTGGAAACAGATCGTATGGCACTGGAAACAGATCGTATGGCACTGGAAACAGATCGTATGGCACTGGAAACAGACCGTATGGCACTGGAAACAGACCGTATGGCACTGGAAACAGACCGTATGGCACTGGAAACAGACCGTATGACACCAGAAACAGACCGTATGACACTGGAAACAGACCGTATGGCACTGGAAACAGATCGTATGGCACTGGAAACAGATCGTATGGCACTGGAAAAAGATCGTATGGCACTGGAAACAGATCGTATGACACTGGAAACAGAGTACACGACAATATGCTCACTCATTAACATGTTGTGATGGGATCAAGTCCCCTCGAGAAACATCACTCTCCATCACCAGCCTTTTAGCATCTTACAACTATGTACGGGATTCTGGACATTGTTATTGTACAAACTATAATGTTCACTGAGCCTCTTGGAGTAAGAACTTGCTATTTGCATATACACATCAATTATTCCGCTTCCCCGTCTAAGGGGTTCCATTGCAGTGGCAATATCATTAATAATATTCGATCTGGTATGTGTAATAATACTTGTGAAAAGTATATATTTGATATGGCTCTCCCATTAGCCAGCTGCATCGTGCGGCTCAGAAGCTCTTCGGAAACTTTACATGTAGCTATTCTTATTATCATTTTTTGATATAGTGACCAGCGTTTTTTGAGGCAACTTTACCTGTGGTATATTTCAAGAGTTCTTCTACTCCCCCTAGCTCAGCTTGGGCCCTTGGCTTGCTTGATGATAATTTTATTAATCACTTTATTTCTGCAAAGAATTTCGAAAACTTTAATAGATTTACTATATAATGTAAAAACTATGTAATATTTACTTGAATTTACCTTGAGGGGCCACCATATCTAGTGGCCTCAATGGGGACAGGATGCCTGCGACTTGTGAAAGTTCCCCTCCCATTATTCCTGAATATATGTGACGTAATTATAATTAAAGCTTGTTGAAGCATATTAACCACATTTTGTGGTTGAGTAATTACTGTGGTTGAGAGAACAGATCTCTTACCCTGTCCATGTTAGACAGACGGGAATGTCTGTCTGTATATTGGTTACCATTGTATACACACTACTGTGTGTATACAATGGAATGCACTGTATGCATTGTGCAATGGAATGCACAATGTACTGGAATGCATTAGGGGGTGATGTGGTGGAGGCTGACTCCATACACAGTTTCAAGTGTAGATATGACAGAGCCCGATAGGCTCAAGAATCTGTACACCTGTTGATTGACGGTTGAGAGGCGGGACCAAAGAGCCAGAGCTCAACCCCCGCAAACACAACTAGGTGAGTACTGTCACCTTGTGTGGGTGAGTGCTGTGTGCTCACTACACAGTGTGTGGCCTCGCAGTAAACATCAAAGTGTTGGTCATTATTGCAAAAGGATGACCACGTCAGTGCTAGAACAGTCTCCGTAGTGTAGTGGTAAGCCACTCGCCTGGCGTTCCGCGAGCGCTTTGTCATGGGTTCGTATCCTGGCCGGGGAGGATTTACTGGGCGCAAATCCTTAACTGTAGCCTCTACTTAATTCAACAGTAAAATGAGTACTTGGTTGTAACAACGATTCTTCGCGGCAGGGGATCGTATTCCAGGGACCAGATTCAAGAAAGCACTTACGAACCTGTACATCTTTTCTCAATCTTTGGCGGCTTTGTTTACAATTATTAAACAGTTAATGAGCTCCGAAGCACCAGGAGGCTGTTTATAACAATAACAACAGTTGAATAGGAAGTGTTCATGCTTGTAAACTGTTTAATAAATGTAACCAAAGCCGTCAAAGATTGAGGAAAGATGTACACGTTCGTAAGTGCTTGCGTAAGTGCTTTCGTGAATCTGGCCCCAGGGACCTGCCCGAAACGCTACGCGTACTAGTGGCTGTACAAGAATGTAACAACTCTTGTATATATCTCAAAAAAATAAAATAAACTACAAACTATTAGGTAACATTATGTTGGGTTAAATCTGGTTACATTACGTTAGGTTAAGTTGCGTTACATTAGGTTGGGTTACGTTAGGCTAGGATAGCTAGGTTATGTTAGATTAAGTTACGTTAAGTTAGGATAGGTTACGTTAGTTTATGTTAGGCTAGGTTATGTTGGGTTAAAGTCAGGTTACATGGGTTAGGTTAAGGCTAGTTAGGGTTAAGTTAGGTTAAAGTCAGGTTACATTGGTTTAGGTTAAGGCCAGTTAGGGTTAAGTTACAATTTACTTACAGTGTCGATGAAGTCAATGAACTTGGAGAAGAAGTACCAGTACACGATGTTCAGCATCTGTAGGAGGCCACACGTGTTAAACAATTACAGGTGTGTAGAGGTGACAGCTGTGCTGCTTGAAGGGACAGGAAGGGGGAACTACCGGCAGGAGAAAGCTGGTAGTACACTCAAAAGCACTCGGAAGGGGTCAGGATAAGGATTTGGGATGGGACGGGATGGGAGGAAAGGAATGGTGCCCAACCACTTATGTAGACAGTCGGGGATTGAACGCTCGATCTGCATGAAGCGAGACCGTCGGTCTACCGTCCAGCCCAAGTGGTTGGGCGAAAGTGCAGCAGAAGGTGACACAAAGTGCATCAAGAACAATAAAGTGTAACATAGGTTTTAAAACATGGTTCCCCCATAGCAGAGGACCGGAAGCCCGTTCGACTTATCGAGGTCACCCCCCCCCCCCCACCTTTAAACAACGACTGACGTCACTAATAATGCTACCCACAACAGCAGCCTAACTCCCAAACCACCAGTTTAGTATTAAGTGCAAGATAATCTGCTCAAACGACTCCCTGCCCATTAAAACGAAAATCAAACCGGGAAGCAAGCGGTTGTGAACTAATATTTTGATTTATCAGAAAGAGAGAAAACGGAACTCAGCGTAGCATAGACTCACCCGCGTGGCTTGTGGGTTATCAGAGAAGTCACATGGCTGACAGAAGAGCTTGTAACTGTTGAACCAGCCACTCATGCCACCCTGGTCACACAAACAGTGGAATGTGAGAGGAAATACCTAACTGTCGCTACCCACACGGGCAGTTAATGACGTTGATATTATAAATGGACGTCGAAAACATCGATCCAATGAGGATTTTTTTCAACGTTGACTCAATGTTGATTAATCGCTGAACCAACGTTGATTAAACGCTGAACCAACGTTAATTAAACGCTGAACCGAGGTTGATTAAGCGCTGAACCAACGTTGATTAAACACTGAAGCACCGTTGATTAAATGCTGAACCAACGTTGATTTAATGCTTAGCCAACGTTCATCTCACGTTACGCAGACCTATTTTGTCCGCCAGGAACCTCATATCACACGACAAAAATTTCAAAGTCAAAATACAAAAAAATACATTTTACCATAAATTCGAAATATATATTTTTTATTATTATATTAAATCGATGCTTAGAATAGTTTGTATTTACATTCTTATTGTTTTAAGTCTATTGAAGACGGTATATAAAAATGTTCTCAAAGTTAACATAAAAAAAACTGATGCTAACTGATAACTGATAACTCTAACTGTAACTGATAACTCTAACACAGACTTTGTAGTTTAAACAATATTTCGGGATGTTGGAATTACCAGATCAAATAAAAATGTTACACTTATGGCAAAATCCTTCAAAAATGTTGACTAATTTCAAGAAACCATCGATCTCAGAATTTTCTATGTTCTTATGAATGAGGGCTTTTCTTACCTCATAAAAAATCCAGGTAGAAAACACGACCTGAAACGCGTTATAGACAATCATAACACGCTTCAACCCGGAGACAGGCTGCTTGGAGCGCATGTAGAGGGGCCCCCACCAGGTGACGACGGCGATGTAGAGGAGGGAGGCGATGAGGGCCGGATAGGGGGACTTCATGAGGAGCCATGAGTGTTGACGGGGGTCTGGGGGCAGCTGGCTCGCCACCGTCAGGTCCCCGTACATGAAGCTGAGGATCGTTATTCCTGCCGCCCATTTCCCATTGGATCGTAGCTCCTCCAGGGCATCTTTGTCAAAACAGTGATCTCGAATATAAACAAACATTTTACGTGCGTTGATCGAATCAGCGTTCTTGGATACCCAATGGCTCAAGAACGCGGGTTCGATCCCATTGTACGGCATTAATATTTCCTCATAGAGACATCACATTATTGGGGTCTCATTGTACGCGCCAATATTCATGGCTATCTTCAGGAGAAATATACGAAGCTCACACACAGAATACCTTTATCTTGTTCCTGGTCTGAGATGCGCTGGGGGGCTGGGGAAGGCGCCATGCTGGGGGTCCTCTGGTCGCTGTGTGACGGAGCCATGTCAGGGACGTACCTGATCCTCCAGAGGACCTCTTAACACTTCACCTGGAGAGAAGAGATTCAATAGTCAGTCAACTAGTGTCCGGACCGAGTACTGCAATTGAAGAATTTCTACTTAAGTCTAAACTATAACTGTTTCAAGTAATTCTTGAAATATTGGAAGAAATTTATCTTTTCTTAGAAGAAGCAGGTTTCAGTATGCCATTGGCTAAAGAAAACGCAGAGCTGAAGACGCCTCGATGCTCTACGCTCTCCATTCTTGGATATAGTTTGGTGATTGCTCAAATGGGTTGTTACAATTTGAATAACGTCGAACCGATCGAATTAACATGTTCCAAATTCTTGGAAAACCTTGGAATGTATTTCTACACCCGTAACATTCATTGATACCGCCATCCGTGGTTAGTTTATTGTGAACCCCATACTCTCATGTGAGTAGTAGTTTATTGTGCCCCCTATACTCATCCTCTGAACGGTTGTTTATTGTGCACCCCATACTCATCCAGTGAACGGTAGTTTGTTGTGCACCCCATACTCTACCTGTTAACGTAAACGCCAAACGTTTTCAGACGGAACAAAAAGACCTTAAACCACAAAACAATTAGTCAGGACGATTATGTCAAGACATAAATCCGTCAGCAATCATCAGTTCAGCCTCTGGCATATTTGACATCTAACAATCCAAAATTCAAGTGAATCAAGCAAACATTTTGGCTCGAAGATGAATTCAAAATTTTTTTCCATTATGTGGGTAAAAAGTAGAGTATTTATCTTTTAAAAATTCATGGTAAAAATGAGAGAGAGAGAGAGAGAGAGAGAGAGAGAGAGAGAGAGAGAGAGAGAGAGAGAGAGAGAGAGAGAGAGAGAGAGAGAGAGAGAGAGAGAGAGAGAGAGTTTGTGTATTTTAGGTCTAAGCCATACATGCAGGTGGGCCATACACCGGTATCACAGCTTAATAACTCCAGTGGTTGACAGGTCATGAGACCAAGGCCCCAGGGAGGAGGTTAAAAGCACAAGATGGGGAGAGAGAGAGGGAAGATGAGGGGTCAGTGAGGTCACGGGTCATAGGTCAGATCATCAAGATGAGAAGAATGGGGAAATTTTTCTTCTCCAGCAAGAAAACTTGAGAAAAAAAAGTGGTGGTGAGACAGACAAAGAGCTTCTGCGCTCTCTGTCAGCTAACTGGGGACAGAAGTTATTATTATTTTTTTAAGTTTTGACCCGAAGGGCGAGTTTATTGGGCGGATCCACTCATCGTTTGAGTGACTGTCTCAAGTGAACAGCTTCTCAAACAAGAAGATTCATATGTGTCAACCCTTAAAAACTAACGTTATCTCGCGGGTACAAAATGGGGGAATTTTTCTTGAGAACAGCATTTATATATGACAGTACTTTCCTAACGCACACAACGTGAGGTTGGCGTCTACTGCACACTGTGTAATATACATGTGTGTGTGCGTGTGTGTGTGTGTGTGTGTGTGTGTGTGTGTGTGTGTGTGTGTGTGTGTGTGTGTGTGTGTGTGTGTGTGTGTACTCACCTAGTTGTGTTTGCGGGGGGTTGAGCTCCGGCTCTTTGGTCCCGCCTCTCAACCGTCAATCAACAGGTGTACAGATTCCTGAGCCTATCGGGCTCTGTCATATCTAAATTTGAAACTGTGTATGGAGTCAGCCTCCACCACATCACCCCCTAATGCCCGTGTGTGTGTGTGTGTGTGTTTTATTGAATATGACTGCATACTCCCTGTTATTTTCTTGTTTATGGCTTCAGTTCCTCTGACTAATGAGTGCTCCTGCATATTAGTTTAATTAGAAGACGATTTCTTCAAACAACTTTAGGGTTGACTGAAAGAAAAATTAACTTGTAGAAAGTCTTACACTTATTATAAATATGTACAGCGCCAGCACGCTGAGCACTCGCGCATACCACCATTAACATGACCTCTGACCGGATGGTAATTTAAATTTACAGAAGAGAAAGGTGATCAAACACAGGTAAGAAAAGAAGCAAGTCTGTTCCGTCCGCCCGGCCGCCTCCCTTCCCAGCCGGGCGGCGCGGCTTTCTCCGCCGCTACGTCACTACAGTGTCTTGTGGTGGGGATTCCATGGGCACCAGTACAATCATGGGCACTTATACAATCGCAGGTGGTGCATGGGGGTTCCATGGGCACTTATACAATCGCTGGTGGTGCATGGAGGTTCCATGGGCACCAGTGCAATCATGGGCACTTATACACTCGCTGGTGGTGCATGGGGGTTCCATGGGCACTTATACAATCGCTGGTGGTGCATGGAGGTTCCATGGGCACCAATGCAATCATGGGCACTTATACAATCGCAGGTGGTGCATGGGGGTTCCACGGGCACTTATACACTAGCTGGTGGTGCATGGAGGTTCCAGGGGCACCAATACAATCATGGGCACTTATACAATCACTGGTGGTGCATGGGGGTTCCACGGGCACCAATACAATCATGGGCACTTATACAATCACTGGTGGTGGATGGGGGTTCCACGGGCACTAATACAATCATGAGCACTTATACAATCACTGGTGGTGGATGGGGGTTCCACGGGCACCAATACAATCATGGGCACTTATACAATCACTGGTGGTGGATGGGGGTTCCACGAGCATCAAAGTGTTAAATAACAAGTTGTACAACGAATTAAGTGTTATATGACAACTGGACAACATGCAACAGTAAGGGACGCGGAAATTAAGCAACACCATAAAGAGTGGCAGCTTGTATACATTGAGACTTACAATAAATTGAGACTTATTGTAAGATGTAAAACAGTTGTAAAACAGGAAATGGTAATGCACAATGTAGTTGATAAGAGAACAAACACGGTACCCTCAGCACCCCCCCGCGATGGGGTTGGGGGGTTGATGGGGTGGGGGGTTGATGGGGGAGGAGGAGGGGGGGGTGAAGGGGGAGGGGGGGTGAAGTCAACTGGACCAGTTTCAGGGAGGACTTGAGCACAGAGACAGTGAGTGAGATGTCGCAAGTCAAGAAGGAGGGATGTGATCGAGGCTCTGTAAAGAGAGGTGAAAACCCGTCTCAACTTATTGTAAGAAACGATTTCTTTCTCCAGAACTACCTGGATTGCCTGTAGGGTATAGTTAGGAGGTCTATTTCAATTACCAAATAATAAAGAAGTGCTGAGATCAACCATTAATCGCCACCCTTTCATTTTATAATATATATCTTCAGTAATACATGTAATTAGAGTCTACGAGTGTCTTGAATACAATAAATCTCCAGTGAAGGAAGCAACTAACTGGTCAACAGGAACGGTAGTGAGTGTTGCAGAAAATGGTGCAACAAGTGCCGCAGTTTTGAAGTGATACAAGTGTTGCAGACGCTTTTTGTATATTTAACTTGCATTGTGCCTTGATGACCAGACCAGACACTAGAAGGTGAAGGGACGACGACGTTTCGGTCCGTTCTGGACCATTCACAATCGACTTGAGAATGGTCCAGGACGGACCGAAACGTCGTCGTCCCTTCACCTTCTAGTGTGTGGCCTGGTCATCATACTTTAGCCACGTTATTGTGACTCATCGCCTCCATCGTGCCTTATTTAACAGTGACAACGTCTTGGTCAAGTCACGAGGTATACTCACTACAACCTTCAAGTAGTTCCTCGTGTGTTAACGACCACCACATCGCCTGGACAAGCCTATGAGTGCGTCCTTCATACTGGACTTAAAATGTAAATTAATAGCTCTCCTAAAAATGAGGAAGAACCCTTTAACCCTTAAACTGCGCAACTTTTTAAAACTACTACATCAAGATGCGCATGTTTAAAAGTAATTAACAAATCAAATGAGTAAAATTAAATCACATTATGGCGTTTGGGGAGCAGCGTAAGGGGTTAAACCATAAAGAAGCATTCAAACAAATTGATATAACTTAACCCCATTGGTGATCGCTGTCTTTTTCTCTGCTTTGTGATGCGACAAGAAGTATCCATTAGGCTGCCTTTGTACCTAATGTAGAAAACTTGTGAGCATCAGCAAAACTATAAACAAAAATTCCTGGTTCCTGAGCAACGGACAATAATCAGCTATTGTAAGTTAAGACAAAATAATATGTAACATGTTTTGTATGTAACAAATTGTGTGTTATATGGTAAGACGGAAACAGGAAACAGTAAGAGACACGGAAGCTGAGTAACAAAGCGTAATGTGTAAAATGAGTTATGAAATACAATCATTTGTGTGATGTTTACATGAATACCAATACAATCACTTTGGTTATGTTTCCATGCGTACCAATACAATCACTTTGGTGATGTTTACATGCGTACCAATACAATCACTTGTTACGAATGTTCCACGCGTACCAACACAATCACTGGCGTCGGTACGAAGTATATATCCCTGAGAGGTTAGGGAAAAATAGTAGAATGATTTTTCACCACTTTTAAATCACTTAAATACCCACCAAAGTGCACTTATTGGCTCGGAACAGCGGCAGCTTGGGTTCTTGCATGTCGGCGTTCGATTTCCGAAGGTCCAATTATTTGGGTACCATTTTTCATACTCCTTTCATGGACTACATCTTCACACTAGCCTAGCGCTCTCTCCTCATAGTTCCATTACCTTCCCTCATTACTCAAGACTCATCGCATGGATGAGTCTGCTTTGGGAGACGAGTTGTGTTGAGTAATGATTTTAAAAAACGGAATGTAAAACTCAAGCTTTGGGGAGAATAACTAGATTTTTATTTATTTTTCCAAATATCATTATTGTTGTTCTAAGTCCTCTCCAAGTTGCCTCAAATGTCGCCTACTTGCCTCGTGCAGGATGCGTCCATGACAGTTGCCTAAATCCCCTTGTACCTAATTTACTGCTAGGGGTGAACAGCGACATCTGGATGCTAGAGTGAACAGAAACGTGTCCAACCGTCTCAGCTCTGTTCAAGGATTGAACCCTGGGCAGAGCTGTCTGATAAGTCCAGACTAAGTCACCGTGACCGAGGAAAGATGTACTGGTTTCGTCTATGGGCTCGTAAGCACTGCTTACAGCACTACTGAA